TTATGATTTGAAAGTGTAAATGAATATATTATTGTAATATTTATTATTATTACCCAAAAGGGGAGAATGTTAGGGATAACATTGTTTTACCCTAACTGTTTTGGGTAAAGATAATAAATATTACAATAATATATTCATTTACACTTTCAAATCATAATTGTCACAACTCTCTTTAAATTTTACAACACCTTGAGCTTTTGTAAACTGGTCTGCAATATTTTCTTCCGTCATGCAGTACTCAAGTTTAATTAGACCATTTTTAACAGATTCTCTAACATTTAAGTATCTTAGATCAGTATGCTTTGATCTAGTCTTTACAGCAATATTAGTAGCTAATTGTATAGCTGCCTGGTTGTCCTCGTACACAATAATAGAATCTTTAACAGTTATACCCATGTCTAATAATAACTGTTTGTACAGAATTAAGTCAGTGCATAGTAATGACAGACATGAAAATTCTGCTTCCATCGTTGACAAGCTAATATGCTGTTGCCTGATTGACCTCCACCCTATTAAAGTCTTACCAAATAATATAGCCATCCCAGATGTTGATTTTCTAGTGTTTATGTCAGTTGCAAAACTTGCATCTGCATAGGCACTAAGAATCAAATCACCTTTTGGCTCTAGATACAATGCATGATGCATTGTTCCTTTAAGATATCTTAAAATTCTCTTTAATGCTTGCCAATGACATTGATGTGGATCATTATTATATCGTGCCAGCTGATTAACACTATAAGCTATATCTGGCCTAGACCAATTGCTTATATATGATAAGCTACCAATCAAAGATTGATATATGGTCTTATCAAATTTGGGACTTTGAGCATCAATTTTGCAAATTTCCTGACTCATTGGAGTCTTTGCAGGCTTACAAAGTTCCATTTTATACAATTTAATTAATTGGCAAATTTTATCCTCTTGAGATATCTTAAATCCTTTTGTGGTTTTGTTAATTGTCAATCCTAGATACTTTTTAATTTCACCTAAATGTTTTAATTTTATCCTTTTTGCTAATAATGAAATAATCTCAGTAGCTTCATTATTGGTCTTAGTAATCAAAGCAATATCATCTGTAAATAATAACAATAATGTCACGTTCCATTATTTTCTCTTTTAAACATACATGGATCTGCTAAACCAGATTTAAACCCTATATTGTTTAATTCTTTCACAATATATTGGTTCCATTCATAGCCAGATTGTTTCAATCCATATAAACTCTTCTTGAGTTTCCAACAATCATTGCTATTTACTTTATTATCATTTATGCCAACTGGTTTTTTCAAATATATTGTATGCTGCAATGGTGCATGTAGATATGCAGTTTCTACGTCTAAATGGTTAACAATATAATTCTTCTTAGCTGCCCACACTAAAGCTGCTCTTAAAGTTGTAGCCTTAAGATTTGGTGCAAATACCTCATCATAATCAAATACATTTTGGTTAAATCCTTGTGCTACTAATCTAGCCTTATAAGTTACTTTCCCATTATTTCCAGTCTTTACTTTAAATATCCATTTGCACCCAATGGATTTTTCTCCTGGAGGTAATTTGGTTTCTTCATAAACCTTCATTTCCTTTAATGAATTTAACTCTTTTTCCATTGCCTTTTGCCAATTCTCCTGATCCTTAGCAGGATACATCTTAAGTTCATCTATGCTAGTAGGAACTTTATTTACTTGGCAAACAATACTTGCCTGATATCTTTCAGGTGGTCTGGTTATACGTGTTGTGCGTCTAGGTATAACTGGACTTACAGGTGGACTTTCCTTTATTTCCTGTTCTTGACTATTTATCTCTTCTTGATTAATTATTTCCTCTTGATCTGGTTCTATTTGCTCTTCATGGACTTCTTCTTTAATTGGACTTTTCTTATAGCTAGTCTTTTCTTTCTGCCTCTTATAATGTTCTATAATAATATCTTTATCTGAATCTTGCTCTAATCTATTCCATCCTATATGTTCTAGGAATTGTGCACTAGCACTGCAGTATACTCTAGATGTACCTGGTTCCCAGAATCTATAAGATCTATGGTTTGCTTGATATCCAACAAAAATTAATCTTTTTGCTCTACGTTGTCCTTTGTGCCTGAGTTGTGTAGGGATATGCACCCATGCTGGTGCACCAAATGTGTGAATATAACTCAAATCAGGTTTCCTACCATGCCACAGAGTGAATGGTAATTCACCTGTTGTTGAATTAACAACATTGTTTAATATGTGATTACCACACATTATAGCTTCTCCCCACAAATTGTCAGGTAATCCAGAATCAGATAACATAGTTCTTCCCATTGATTGCAGTGTTTGGCCTCGTCTCTCTATAAATGCATTATGTTGAGGCCTATATGGTGCAGACCTTTTATGTTGAATACCTGCTATTCTAAGTCTATTCTGGAATTTATTATTTGTAAATTCCACACCATTATCTGTTATAAGAGTTACTAGTTTCTTTTTAGTTTTCCTCTCTGCAAATTTTAACCAATTAAAGAAATTTGTATACGTTTCAGTTTTTCTCTTCATTAGAAAACAGAAACCATACCTAGAATAGTGGTCCATTATGCTTAATATGTATCTAGCACCACCTACACTTGGCTTTTTAGGACCTATTATATCGGCAAATACTACCTTTAAAGGCTCTTTGGTAGTAAATCCATCAAATCTATTTGCCGGTATAACTTTGCTTTTGTTTTGATTACAAGCAGAACATTGCAAATACTTATTACAAGGTTTTAAACTTATTCCTTTAGATAGTTGAACAGTTCTCTTAATCATTTTAAAATTTAAATGACCTAGCCGTCGGTGTAACAAGTGAATACATTCATCATGAGGTTTTCTATTTTCATAAACTGTGTTAGCCACCTTTAAACCATTATCATTTAACACATATAAGTCACCTCTTAAAGATGCAGTAATTTTCTTACCTTCTTTTTCAATTAAACAAGTATCTCCCTTAAAGGTAACTATGTATCCTAATTTAACCAACATTCTAACTGAAAGCAAATTAAATTTAAGTTGAGGTACATATAACATTTTTATGTTCTCCTTTATACTAGAACAATGAGCAATACCTTGACCTTTTGCCTTCAGTTTCCATCCGTTTGCTAATGAGATATGCTGTGAACTCATAGACATTTTTACAAATTTTTTTGTTATCATTTGTAATACAGTGGGACGCACCACTGTCAACCACCCATAAATTATTTTTTACAACTCCATTACTATACATTGCTAACTCATAATTCTTATTTCTTCTTTGTTGGCTTACAGCATTCTGGCTTGCATTCTGGCGCTTTGGTTTCTTACAAAATCTTGATAAATGTCCTCTCCCCCCACAATTAAAACACTTTTTAATTGCGAATGCAGTAGGAGATTCATTATTTTCCTTTTGAGGTTGCTCCCTCCTTAACTGATCTCTTTCAAGCCTTCTTCTGGCCTCTTCAATCAATCTGCCAGTGATATCAGTTAAAGTTAGACTTTCTTTAGGCAATATTTCAAGGGAAGTTACGTAGTCATCAAAACTTTCGTCTAATGAAGATAGAATTATGTAGACCTGGTGTAGCTCAGAGAAAATTAATTCCTTCTCATGAAGTTCTTGAAAAATGCTTTTCATAGTGTTCAAATGACTCAGCATATCACCATTCTTTTGGAGATACGTCCGGAAAAGCTTCCGTGTTAGATTTATGCGAGCACCAACGTTATCTCTAACATAAATCCTCCTCAGTTTTTGCCAACACCCAACAGCAGTTTGCTCTCCACGTATATGAACAAGCTGCTGATCAGTTAATGTTAATCCTATGATGCAAAATGCTTGTTCATTTTTCTCTTTAAATTCTTTTATCTTTATACTATCTTCCTCATCTTCAGGATCCCATTCTTCTACGTTTGGTGGGTTTTCAATTATGTTCCACAGACCTTCTCTTCGTAGAAGTAGACTACATTTCATAGACCATGAAACATAGTTTGTTCCATCCAGCTTGGATATAAGGGACAAACTTTGTAGACTGACTTGTGCCATGTTTCACTATATGGAAATAAAACTATAATTGATAAAACACAGCTGTCTGTTTACTGTAACGTGTAACAACACAAAATCTCACTTTTTACATAAACCTGTTTTTATCCTAGTTAAACTGACTTTGCAGTCTCTCTGGGCCCATAACCAGTGTTAAGCCTGGATTCCCCAACGGGTGTTAAGGAAAACAAACTAAACAGAATGTGCAGCGAAGTCAGATAGGAAGACAGGTAAATGTGTGAGATAAGCCTTCTCGTTAACACGCAGTAAAAATACAGATACGCTTGTGCTATCAAAATTATAATTTATTCCATTTAAGAATTATAGCATAGTCATGTAAACAGTCCAGTAGTCATATATCAATTTCAGTCAAGTCTTGTCAGGGATACTCTATTTGCAAAGTCCGTGTCGAATAGCCAGTGTCAGTACACATATAATAAATCTGTCCAAAACTTATCTTCTCTCCGTTGAGAAATATCTTCAAAGTAATCCAACACTTCTTCTCCTCCCCGATCCAGCAAGAACGCAGTCTTCAATAAGCCAGCCAGTAAGAGCCAGAGAGTGCCTTGCTGCTTATATAGTACTTTTACAGCTGCATCCTTAATTACATTCCTTTAGCTTAAAGTCACATACACTTTATCTGACAAACCATGATTCATCATTTTATTATCTTTACCCAAAACAGTTAGGGTAAAACAATGTTATCCCTAACAGGTACCAGTTATGTGCAGGATGGGATTAAATGGGCAGGGTATGCGGTAGTCACTTTAAATGATATCTGGAAAGCTGAGCCTCTCCCTCCAGGCACAAGTGCCCAATTGGCCGAACTATATGCATTGACCAGAGCTTTGGAGCTTGTAAAAGGTGAATGTGTCAACATATATACAGACTCTAAATATGCTTTCCTCACTGTACAAGTCCATGGTGCCCTATACAGGGAGAGAGGACTTATTACAGCAGGAGGCAAGGACATCAAGTATGGCCCCCAGATACTGCATCTCCTGAAGAGTGTATGGCCTCCTAAAAAGGTTGCCTTTATCCATTGCCGAAGACATCAAAAGGGGTGCTCTGACATATAAAGAGGGAATGATAAAGCAGATAGGACAGCTTGTAAGGCAGCCCAAAGGACTCTGACGGTACAAGCAGATTGCCTCACTATATGGGTCCCGGACGAACACCTTACACCTCGTTATTCCCGGGATGACCTAAACCAAAATGAGGCGCTCGAAGCACAAATGGAAGGTTTGGTGTGGTTTGATTTGGTTTAAGGCTTGGTGTTCTTCCACACAGTGGTATTCTTTTTGTATGTATTCTTTCTTTCTATTATCTGTAAACTACCCTGAAGTTGGTTGGCCCTGAAATTGAATTAAATAAATAAATAAATTCTGAGTTACCTCTGATTTGGTTTTGGGCTCAACATGTTTCTTCTGGAACTTGGCAGAAGAGATGGAATATACAAACTACAAATTGACCAAACAAAATATAGTTACTTGATTCATCTACAAAAGTGACTTTGATTTCTCATAGATGTGGCAATCTGTCCACATAGAGACAGAAACATCTATTGGCTGTGGAAATTGTTTACAAAATGACTACTAGGAATCTTTTGTTTTTACTTATGCTTCAAATATTTTAATATGTTTTTGAAACATTAATATGTTAAAATTAAATTTTAATTTCATTTTTAAGGTCCCTCTGAGAGACAATTCAAAGGTCTAGCTGATTGTATTACTAAAATTGCTAGAAAAGATGGAATTACTGGTCTATACCAAGGATTTAGTGTTTCAGTACAGGGAATTATTGTATATCGAGCATCTTATTTTGGATGTTATGACACCATAAAAGTAAGTTTTTTAAACTCATTTTTTTAAAAAAAAACATTGAATTTGATATGCTATATTTATTATACATGTTTTATATGATAATTTATGTAATGTATCAGCTTTATTTCATTCCTTTGCCATCCTGGAGTCAATATATTCCACCATGTTCCATCTGGGCTGTTGATTTCAGTCTTGTGTATAAGTTCTACGTGACATATTCTAGATTCCTATTTCCTAAGAGAATTCAATAGCTTGATATACTGTAGTTGGCACAACTGAAAGACTTTCTATAATCAATGACATCTATTAATTAATCACAGCTTGACTTCTTTTCCAGTTTTCTTTGTTTTTTTCACTTATTCAAGGTACACCAGCACTAATGTCTCATGTTCCTCAGACTTTTCTAAAATCAGCTTGAATTTCTGATATTTCCCTTTGAATATATGGTCTAAGCTATATTGAACAATCGTAAGCATTATTTTGCTAAGTAAGGATATTATTTGATAGTTTGCAGATTTTGTTAAATCTTTATTTGACATAGCTATGTAGATTAGCATCTTCCAATCTCTTAGTCTCTAGATTGTTCTCCATATTTGCTGGCATAATTTAGTTAAAATTGGATTAATTCTTCTGTGCCTGCTTACCATATTTTTGTAGTTATTCTGTGACTTCCTCTAGTCTTCTGACTTGGTAACAACTGGACAGCTGATCTAATTTCTTTTGTTCTAGAGGTTTTTGTAAGGAAATATCCATAATCAATCATTCATCAATTATTTTTTCTTATTCATGTAATTTTCTTGGTAGCGCATAAGAGTGGTTTACCATTTCTTTCTTTCATGCAATATGAAATTATGCCTTTGTCATTGCCAGTAAAATGATTATTCAACTTTAGCATTGTCGTGTAATTGTGTTGCTCATGTAAGAGTCTGCTTGCTTTAGCTAGACAGGTGTGATGAAATTTATAGCTTGAATCACTCTACTGGCAATATACACTCTTGGTGGACTCGGTTCATCTTTCTCAGAAAGACATAACCACCAACTTGAAGCAGAAGACATTGGGAGGGGGGTAGTATGTTTACTTCAGCTAAAATTAGAATGGTTGCTGACTCTGCTAATGTTATGAATACACTTTCTCTTTATGCACTTTTTTAAAATAAGTTTTAGTTATTACTGTCTTCAGTTATGTAATCCAGTTAGTATGAATAAATGGATACTGATGACTGACTTAATAATATACTTTCTAAAAAGTATTCAGAAAGCACAAAAACAATGAAATATAAATGCAATTGATTCAACCTTTAAAATGACTCTTGATGAATATTTACTTTTTACCTAACTAAAATTTGGCAAAATTGTTGCATATAGATAAATGTGATTTGAGGTTTTGGTCTCACCAGTGGACCACAGTGAGCATCTGAGCATCTAGCTATATTGCATCTTAGTTTTTCATATGAAACATTCTTCCTGTTTAATTTGTCTGATACCCTAAAACGTATGATGAAAAATATTTTAAATTAATTCAATAATGTAAAATGATTCATCAAAATACTCTGAACAGATATAACTTTTTTCTATGTAAATATGACTTCATTCATGCTTAAATTTAAATATTTAAATACAAGCCAATGATTATTTTTTCTGTTCCTTCTTAGGGAATGCTACCAAATCCGAAAGAAACCCCATTCCTTTTATCTTTTGCAATTGCTCAAGTGGTAACAGTATTTTCTGGGATACTCTCCTATCCATTTGACACTGTCAGAAGACGCATGATGATGCAAGTAAGTAATTCATCTAGAAAACATGTGAATGTCCTTGTGACTATCAGGGCTACATCATTCTGTTTTGATACTACTTGTTTCATATCTCTCTTCTTTAATCAGAAAATGTGATATTAAAATATAATGCTGAATAAAGCCACAGGTCTATCTAACTAAATATTGTCTACTTATTTGAGCAACAGTTCTTCAGAATCTCAGCAGGAATCTTTTTTACACCTACAGAGATTCTGGAACCTTCTGCAAGCAAGTATTCTGTTACTAAGGTAGCCTGTGTATATGACATACACATTGGTCTATACCTCGCATGCAATTATAATTTCAAATGGGGATATTGATATTTATAACCTAGCTATAATTTGTAGACAACCTTGACATAGCAAACATTGGAATTTCAGAATAAAATATGGTGTTCTATCATGTGTTGTATCCAATTATTTTGGCAGTTATTAGATTCTTTATCGCCAAAGTTGGAATCAAAGCAATATGAGTCAATATTAGCTAATAATACATTTTGATGAATTGGTAAATTCCGTCCTCAATAGTTTTTGTATATGTTTGAGATATTTGAAGGGGTGGCTAAGGTGGTATGCAAGAGATGGAAGTTAAGGATATGTATGTATATGTATTTTGTATGAATGATTCATAATACGTAAATACATAAATTTGGATAAAATCTGTTTTCGTAAAATAAAAAAAACACAACTGTCTTTCAGTTTTTTTTATTTACCACAGAGCTATCATTTAAACATCTTTTAGATATACACTGCAGAATTATAATCAGTTGATGCAAAAACATAGAACATAGAATGACAGAATTGGAAGGGACCTGGATCTAGTGCAATCTTCTGCTCTAGCAGAAGAATCTATAGCATTTCAAACAAATGGCTATCCAGTCTCTTCTTAAAAGCTTCCAGTGATGGGGCACCTACAAGTTCTGAAGGCAAGCCATTCCACTGGTTGATTGTTCTCGCCATTAGGAAATTTATCTTTTATTTCTGGGTTGTTTCACTCCTTGATTAGTTTTCATCCATTGGTTCTTGTATTACCTTCTGATTCTTTGGAAAATAGGTTGACTCCCTCTTCTTTGTGGCAGCCTCTCAAATAACAGCATCCCTTCTCAACAGAAATTTAGGAGAATTTAAGATTGATATTTGATATTTGATTATTGATATCAGATTGATATTTACCGATAATGAGAAACCATGAAAATTAATTAATGAACACTGCACCAAAACCAGACGTTTAAAAACTAGCAATTTTTAAATTAGCAGTTTTTAAAATTTCCTTTGAAGTGACCTCATTTAAGTCTGAAGTTTACAGAAAACCTTATGGGAAGATCATAGACATTTTAAGTGTATTAGCAAAAGCCTACTTCGGAAAAATATATTCTCATTAAGTTCTTAACAATGACAACATTTGAAGTAGTATCCCTATAATTCAGTAAAACAAATATTACAGAATAATTATTTACTATTTATCAAGTGTATATGGTTTGCATTTAACTTTGGTTATATTTGAATGTTTTTGAATTCAGAGTGGAGAGACTGAACGCCAATATAAAGGAACCATTGACTGCTTTATCAAGATATATGGCCAGGAAGGAATAAAAGCCTTTTTTCGTGGGGCATTTTCAAATGTTCTTCGTGGGACAGGTGGTGCGTTGGTGCTAGTCCTTTATGACAAAATCAAGGAATTCCTTCATATTGATCCTTCAGTAGGCCAAACATCTGACTAAACCCACTGATGGCTTGCATTGCACATGTAGAAAGAAAAGTCTATTGTTTTAAATATTGATTTATTAATTAGTATTCCACTTTGTAACAAGTCAGTAGTATTTACTGTTTATTATTTTAAAGCAATTTAAAGGTTACATTTACTTAGTTTTTACTTTCAAAAGGCTTTTGCCTATATTTCCCTTTCCAGTCTTTTTCTTGAGTCATTATCTTTACCTTCAAAATCAAGATTTCTGGATTTCATCTTGAAGATAAGCAATTCTTTGGGAGGAAGAGGGAGAGACAAACATTGAATTGCCTAGCTAAAGTTGCCTATCATAATAGACAAATGAGTTTGTTCTGAGCCAAACCCAGTAATTTACATTGGAGTTTAAACTTTTTTTATTAGGAAAAAATAAGAGCTTTTCCAGACAAAGCTAAATAAAATTTAGACAGATTATAGCCCCCGTTAGTGCAAATTTATTCAGATTATTTTGTTCAATAGTTTGAATTAAGGGCATCTTAGAATGAACGTACTGTAACGTTCTGTAGCAAAGTAATAATAGGAGTTTCTTGCTAGAAGACAAATTTAGCCTTTTGCAGTGTCACAGAAGAGGAAAAAAAAGAATGTATATTGAAGCAAAAGCTGGGTATATTTAGGTAAAGGAATCTAATACTATGTAAGAATCTCAGTTATGCCTTTCTAAAGCAATAAATTAACGTGTAGTAAAGGTCATCAGTGTAAAACAGATAGTAAAGATTATAATCTGCAGAGAAAGCTTGATGTTTCTGTCACCATAGTGAACTTTTCAATAGTGTCCTGCTTAATGTCAATTGATGCGGATCTGGGGGGTGGGAAGGGGTTCAGAAGACTTTATGAAAATTATGAACATAGTTTAAGTAGTTATCTGAACCTCTAAGATTTAAAACTACAAGCACATTTAAGCTGACACCCATAAACTAGAAGCCAAGAAAAAAAAATCTATTGATGATACCCATTCAAGAAAATAATATTACTGTTAATTCCTGTATCAGATTTTTAGAAGCAAATATCTGGGAAAAAAAATAGCCTAGATATTAGTAGAATAGATTAATAGAATCAGAATTGACAAGACATCTGCCAGAAAAGATTCCTTAAATTCTTAGCCAAATATTAGGAAATAACATTTATTTGGTCAATTTCATCCACACATTTTAGTAGTCTTCATTATGTAGAACTTAATAATTAGGAAAATTATATGGATCCAAATAATCAGGATAAACACTACCTCAAATAAGGAGTATAATACTGCAGAACTTAATTTAATAAGGACTGGAATTGTTTTCTCCTAAATTTAGTATGAAAAAGATCAAATGCCTGTCATAATAACTTCCTCACTTGCACCTTGAAAGGATACTTGACGAAGAGCTGTAGAGAAACTTTTATTAACCACAACAGCTGAAGAGTGCTTTGAAGTCTTTTTTTTTTTTTGAGACTGTGGCCATAGGGTTTCTTCAGGGAAGACAGAGTTTACAAACAAGTACTTCTATTAAATTAGTTACAGATAGCATCTTGCTAGTGCCATATTAGAATCAAACTACGCTATGAGACAGTAATTGGTTGATTTGAAAAAAGGGCAGTAAAGAGTTAGATAGCATTTGCTATATCTAATTGTGGCTCAAAAGTGATAGCCCCAGTAAAGAGCTTTTTTCCTAGTAAACAGATTGGAGTGCAAGAGCCCAATATGATGTATGTTCACTTGGTATATGTCTCTCTAAGGTCCATCTTTTTCTGGATTAAAATAATTTGACTAAACCTTGACACCTCCAATTAGCATCATTCTTAGGGTATATGTATTTATTTAGGAAGAAGCAACATTTCTTCTGATGTTGAATATATTACATAACACGATTGAACAAATGATCCAGACAATGTAGATCAGGGGTGTCAAACTTGCGGCATCATGTCATGTATCGGGACTTTTTCCCCATTCACTAAACTGGGTGGGGGCAGAGCCAGCATATGACACATCTGGCCCATTGGCTGAGAATTTGACACCCCTGATATAGATTTAACTGAGTGTGAAAATATTGCAAACTTGAACTGGCAATACAAAGAATTAGCAAAAAGACAGATTTGATGTACCACTAGGTTTTTTTTTCTGCCATCAGTTTTCTGTTTCTATAAATGTGAGTTGGTTGCCAAGTGCCCAAATTGTGATTATGTAAACAAGTGGTGGTGACAATCAACTCTGAGGATAGGTCATGTAATTTTTTCAAGGCTATTGCAACTTCAAATCATTAAATTGATGGTTGTAAGTCAAAGACTATATTATACAAAAACAATTCCCATTTAAGAAAAATATTTAATGCAAAGCATCAGAAAAACAGAATCTGAAACAAAACCTATTACTGAAAGCTGTGGGTTATCAACAAAGTCATAGCCTTCTGCCTGTTCACAGTTTATTTTCTCCAGTACATGAAAAGATGGCTGATGGGAGAATATTGTATTTTTGTACAATATGCTCCAATTGCAGAGTTGCACCAATTGTGGAAACCTAGGATACATATTAAAATACTACAAGCTATGTTATTTCCTCTGACACTATAGAAGCAAAAGTTGTACTTTGAAGAAGCAGGATATGGAGAATATTGATATCTTTGAAATACGATGCTGGAGAAAACAGAATATTGCGGCAGTCCAAAAAAGCCGCAATGGATTATCAAACAAATACATCCAGAATTCTCGATCCAGGCACACCTCAACATAAATTATTTTATTTTAAACACAGTATGCAAAGACCTAGTTCCCTAGCAGCTGTAATGCTGAGAAAGGTGAAAGGAAAGAGACGACAACCAAGCAGAAAAATAGATTGACTCCGTTACAACTGCACCACTGGAAGACCTGAAAGTTCAAGCAAGGGACAGATTGTCCTGGAGAAAATCTATATAGTCACCAAGAATTGATATCAACTTGATAGTACATAATTATCTGCCAGAGTACATATTCTGTACTCATGTCTTGTACATGCTCATCATTTACAATGTAAGATGATCAATTCAGATTAATTTTTTTTTTTACTACTGGTTCTGTGGGCGTGGCAGGGGAAGGATATGGTAAAATCTCCAATCAGAGGTGGTATTTTCTGGTATTACTCAAAATTTTCGCTACTGGCTCTCCTGAACTGGTCAGAACCTGACCAGAATCAATTCCTCCATTGTACTGTTTTCATTCTTCATACACACACAAACACATCCACGCATTATTTTGATCATGAGCCACCCAGAGTCTGGTTTTAAGATGAGCAGGTATTCACATCTTTAAATAAAAACATTTAAATATCACAATTATTCATATTTCTATTTATTCTATGTACTGTTCATCTTCTTTAACAATCTATTCTTTAGGTGTTGATTTCATATTTCCTGGGTTCTATTCAATCCGGGAATGTGGGATGCAAAATACAGAGGAAGTAAAGTATTTGTAGGATGTTAATAATTTTTGGCTATATGACTTCAAATTGGTCCATAACCATATTCCGTGCTTCTCCCGCCCTGGGCCTCTGTTGACAGTATTTGAGAACAGAACCTCCGACAGCAGTCGCAGTTCCGGACTTTGGCCCTTAGAGGGCGACCGAGATAAGCCTCTTTCGCATTCTTCTCACTAGGATTCCAGATCTTTCTCGAACTCCTGGAGGCTAACCGAGGACGCGCGGAAACTGCCGAAGCCCAGCTTGGAATTTCGCGTCGTCCTCGTTTAGCAAGTAGCCGCGCCTGCGCAGAGAAGAGAAAGTGCCGGTTGGCGGTTGTTGTTCCGCAGTGACAGAACGAGCGAGCGAGCGAGCGACTCGCCGAGGTGCCGTCTCCCCGCCGCGAGCACTGTCCCGCGGGGGCCCGCCGCGGTAACGCGGAGGGAGGGGTGAGGAAGAAAACGGACCGCACCCGCCGCAGTCATGTCTGTGGTGGGCATCGACCTGGGCTTTCAGAACTGCTACATCGCGGTGGCGCGGAGGGGCGGCATCGAGACCATCGCCAATGAGTACAGCGACCGCTGCACCCCGTGAGTCTTAGCCTTCCAGTCGGGCTTTGGGCGACAGCCTCCGCTCCGGAGGGGTCAACGGAGGCTCGTGCTCTTTCCGTTGGCTTCTTCCCCGGCAGCCTCCGCCTCATGAAACCTTTTAAAGAGCTTTCCCCCACGACCGGTGCTACTCTGCTTACCTGGAAATTGCGAGGTTGGGCAAGGGCGGGTTAGAATTACAAGCTTCTCTCTCTCTCTCTCTCTCTCTGGATTATGAGCTGTTATTATAGTTTACAAAGCCATAGTAGGTGGGTTCACACGACATCCTAAATAGTGGATCATTGTCATGTATACACTTGGAAAAGAAGCTGCTATGTATCAGCATGGAGGATGGATCCTGTACTGAGTAGTTCGGTGTTGTCAAATTAACCATTGCTCAGCTTTGAGTCAGCTGGGTGTATTTGAACTCCAACTGGTTCTTTAACTGGTCCTGCTGGGTAAGACAAATAGGTTTATAACTGCCAAATGTGGAAGATGATCATTAGGTTGAGATAAAACTTAACTTTTCCAGAAGTGTCTTGATCAGGCTTACTTAGAAAGGCTTGGCATTTTCTTGGCACTATTTTTTACACAAAACATGTGTCTTAGTGCTGAATTTTTGTTCTCATTAGTGCTGACAATATCTAGGGATATTAGAATTCCAACTTCCAGAATCCTGCTCTTGAATCAAATAAGAGTTTTGGAGGATTTGCTTTGGAGAAATAAGATTTCTCTCTTTTCCAGAAAGATTTTTCTTCTTTTCACTTTAATAAGTTTGGCTTTAGCAGTAGTCTTCAGTTTGATAGAGTTGGAACTAATTCGCCATGAGCCTTCATAAGAGCCAACTGAAACATTTCTATTTATTTAAACACAACCATTGTTGTGTTATTTTGTTCTTCTGATCTCATTTCTCATCTTATTTCTTTTTTTAAAAAAAGGAGAATTGCACATCTAAAACATTGTACTCTGTTAAAAACTATGATTTGATACTTAAAAGAACTCCTATTGTGAAGATCATGACATCTACTAATCCCACATTTTTTTTACTATTGTCCATTGCCATTTTTCATCCATCCATCACAATAGCATTGAAACAGAAGCACCTTTAACTTTTTGCAAATAATTCCATGATTTAGCATTTCTTTCTGAAGCTCAAAATAATTGTAATGTGTCTTTTCAGTTAAAAGTATTATAACTGAGGACAATTCAGGTCACAGTAATATGTACCAGTTTTGCAGATCAATCTTTGAAATAAGCATGCTTACATGAGAGGATACACAGGGTAAAAGAAGTTGGCCAGTATTTCATCTTTTCTGCTTTTGTAGCAATCTTTCCTTTTGCCCTGCATGTTACTTCTTGTTCTATTGCCTCACTTAACTATCAACAGGGTGGTACTTGGGAAGAAAGAGATGATGTATAGATGATTGTACAGTATTGCAGAAATTGGTAGAACTTGTTCACTCTTCTCTGTTTCTATGGGTTACAACCAGGAGATAGGTATCATCTCTTTGTAGATTTAGCAGAATTGTAAATTTATGTAATCAAAAGCACACATTTATTTTGTGTTCTTTGTTCCTTTGAAAAACAGTATGTCATTGCAAACATTCCAGCTATTATTTTCTTTAAATTTAGCAAAAACTGATAATGAATTGGGTATACAAAAACATGAATGTGTGTGTGTGTGTGTGTGTGTGTGTGTGTGAGAGAGAGAGAGAGAGAGAGAATGAATGAATGAATGAATGAATATATGTATTTGTTGGATCAGGCCAACATTCATTGTGTTCTAGTATTCCAAAAATGAGAAAAACAACTTCAAAATAACTGATCTTTCACTTAGCCTTATAAGTCTTTACTATTAGGAAGAGGCTATTTTGCTACAACTGGAGGTTGATAGCTGTTTTATGCTCCTGGAATTTACAGTATTGTATAAAGAAATAAATAATAAGAATTTAACTTGTGGCTTTGAATTTTAGGATCTTGGATAATTTGCAAACATTTTAAAATTCAATAATTCATGGTTATCCTTCAATCTGGTTCAGTTAAAACATTTATTTTACGAGGAACCAGATTGTTGGAGGCAATGTGCTGATTCTACCACTTAGAGAAGGCCGTAAAGTACTATGAAGTGGTATATAAGTCTAAGTGCCATTGCAACTTATCAGTGACTTATATTGCTGATTCTCATACAAATCCTTGAAAATTCTACTTTCTGTATTGTCATTTTTTATTTTCTGAAGGTCAAAAAATATTGTTGAGATTAGATTTGCCTCTGAAAACGGGTTGCTTATGATTTGTAGTTGGGTTCTCTGCTCTGTGGAATCAAGTTACCTTCTTCCTTTACCATCACCACTTTCACATTTGTTCTGTTTTCAGATTGATTAATCTTTTACAGTTTGATAATCTTTAACAATTTGATTTCTTCATTCATATTTATAGAGTATCTGTTGTTTTTCAGAGCTTGTATATCTTTGGGATCCAAAGCCCGGACTATTGGAAATGCAGCAAAAAGCCAGGTAAACATAAGTATATAATTATTTCAAAAGTTATCATTTTATTCAGCAGTAGTTCTTAACATTTTATCAGAAAATTTATTCACAAAGCTTTTAAATCAAAAGCATTGATAATATTATCACCAGTGCACAATATTAACTTAAGTATTTTTATCTTGCATAAAATAAAATCTTATTTACAGTACTAAGGAATTATAAATGCATAATAAGAATGAAATGTTGCTTTTACTAATAAATTAATAAAACTATTGAAAACCTGTAAGATGAACTTTAATATGAACATGCAAAATTAATACCTTTACATTATTTTGACAGATTATCACAAATATTAAGAATACATTACATGGATTTAAAAAGCTGCATGGGAGAGCATTTAATGATCCCTTTATAAAGTCTGAAAAAGAGAAACTGCCATATGAACTTCAGAAATTACCTAATGGGAGTGTAGGAGTAAAGGTGAGCATGGTACCTTCTCTTGTGATACCTGCTATCAGAATACACAGAACAATATATTTTAAGATCTGGTCCTTTTAACACAATGTTCCCCAACCTTTCCAGCTTTGCGGACTGACAAGGGGGGAGAGGGAATAGTTACATACAAGTAGCAGGTGAATGTAGGTACAGCTCTATTTGCGAGAACGGTAGGCACATGTACTCACTACTTGCACAAATGGAGCTGCACAGATGTACACACTTGCCTGTGCAAGTGGAGCTGCTCATGCACTCACCTGCCACTTGGTTCTGAACAGGCCAAGGCCTGATAGTGGGCCATGGCTTGAGGTTTGGGGACCCTTGTTCTAATGTATCTCACCAAATAGAGGTTGCTTGAAAAAATAATGAGTTTAACATCTCTGTCAACATGAGTGCCTACTATGTATTCTAATTAGTTATTAATTTATCTGGGTGTTTTTAAAACTCTAGGTACGATATTTGGATGAAGACAGATTATTTGCTGTTGAACAAGTTACTGGTATGCTATTAGTTAAACTTAAGGAGACATCAGAAAGTGCACTTAAAAAACCTGTAGCAGACTGTGTCATTTCCGTAAGTTTTTATAATGGTATACTTATAAAGTAATAATGTTATATAACATGTGTAAATATTAGATTATAACATGTTCCTGGAAAGGCAGCTCTATTTATTTGATTTGGTTTGTTTGCCGCTCATCTCATTACTCTGGGCAGCATATAACATTAAATTATAAGCTAATAAAGTTTTGTTTTCTATAATATTTTCTGATATCTCAATTACTGATAATGAAATGTGTAAACAGTAAACAGTTGCATACATAGTAGACACTTTATAAGCTGAAGTCTGCCTAAATTCAGGTTTAGGATGTTCATCACATATGTTGAAAATTGGTTGCTTTGAGGCAAAGTAATTCACATTGCCCCCTCCCTCTCATTGTTTGTGGCCAGCACATCATGAAACTCACATACATAGTTGATAACATCATTTTGCAAGAAACCCAATTACCAAATAATACATTACATTTTGCACCTAATTTGCTTAATTAGTTATTAGTTTACATTTGTTGCAGGTAGAGGGGCTTGCTCTACGCATTATAGATAGTCCTTGATTCATAACAGTTTATTTAGTGGCTGTTCGAAGTTACAATGGCACTGAAAAAACTGTCTTATGACCATTTTTCACATTTACGACTGTTGCAGACAACTGATTCAAATTTATGATGGTTACAGTATCCCAGGGTCATGTGATCATCTTTTGCAGCCTTCTGACACTCAAAGTCAATGGGAAAGCCAGACTCACTTAACAACCATGTTACTAACTTGACAACTGCAGTAATTCACTTAACAACTGTGGCAAGAAAGGTTGTAAAATGGGATAAAATTTACTCAACAAATTTTACTTTACTGTCTCACTTAGCACTAGAAATTTTGGGCTCAATTGTGGTCGTAAGTCAAGAACTACCCATATATATGCAGGGCTATTCATGAACCAATCCTTGTTATTGAAATATAGACTGGTACTCAGCTCCCTTTCTCTTCCCAACCTGGCATTTTGTGGAAAAACAACAGTTGAAAATAGGAAATATGTACAGCTAAAATATATGCCTTTCTGCAGCATTGAGATCTAAGTAGACTTAGGGCCCCACAGAGCCTTAAAATTATTCCAAACTAATCCGTTGGAAATAAGTGTAATTTATATATTTTAATTAGTCTATTAATATTGAAACATTGGATCAATTGGCACAAATATATTTAAATTGCATATTTCGGGATTATAATTTAAGTTTTTGTAATGGCATAAACCACTTGTAGAAAATTCATAAGAAAGATGAATATGGTGAAATTAATAGAAAATATTTTTCCACAGATCCCAAGCTTTTTTACTGATGCCGAGAGAAGGTCTGTTATAGCAGCAGTGCAAGTGGCAGGTTTAAATTGCCTGAGACTAATGAATGAAACTACAGCAGGTAAATTTACGTTTTACTTGTTATATATAGCAGTTTTGCTTTTTAAACAAATTCAAATCAGAGTCAAAATATATAACATAACAATCTAGCAAGATTGTTGGTAGATACAACTAAATACTGGGATATCTTTACACACAAGTAAACTATCCTCCAGTATGAGTGATTTTAACTAAAATAAGTATAAATTCTTGGAGCAACATTAATGAACATCTGTTCAGAACAATAAGTTCAATAGGACTAATACAACAATTCTAGGATAGCATTTGATAAACAAATTTGCATAATGCTTTTGTTTTCAAGGTTGAAAACTGGCTTTATTTATTTAGCGTAAGTAAATGAGATGTTAATACTGTACCACAAATCATTTGCCTTAAATATGCGCACTGTTGTTTCCTCACCATTTTTATAAAGAAAGACTACAAGAGAAAGTTGCATGAGTAAGGCAAATTCTTCAAATTATGCCACTTTTAACTATAAGTAATTTCAATGAGTTGTAATGAATATCATTAGAACATAAGTAAGAGAAATGAATGTCCTGGAGTAGCTTATAATTTGACAGTATTAAAAGAAATATAAATGGCATTTTGAATATTTAGGTACAGCCTTCAGATGTGGGAATACTGTATCTGATTTAATAAAATAATTTAGCAAATATGGATTGTCAAGCACAAGGGTAAAGGGCTGGCAGGAAAAAAAAATTAAACCATTTGCCTTAAAAGAAATGGTTACGTCAAAGTTTCAAAATATTTTAAAATGATGGAACTAGTAGTTTTGCACATACTTAGTTACAGTGAAACCAATATTTTGAAGCTAATTGTTTCTGATGTTAGAAGAACTTATTGAAAAGCCTGCAAAAGTATGCTTTCTTTATTTTACTTGACTTTTCATAATTTTATAAGTTATTTTTAAAGCTTTTCTACTCCATAGAATTTACTTTTTACATTCTTACAGTTGCTTTAGCCTATGGAATTTATAAACAGGATCTACCAGCCCCAGAAGAGAAACCAAGGAATGTGGTGTTTGTAGACATGGGACATTCAGCCTACCAGATTTCTGTTTGTGCATTTAACAAAGGAAAATTGAAGGTAAATTGTTGAAGCAACAAATAAGATAAACAGGATAAAAAAGAAGTTCAATCACAAAATAAATAATATGAGCATTATCTAACCACAAGTCTTTTTTTTGCTTGCTTTTATATTCCTTATTGTGCTTAATCTCATAGGTACTTGCTACTACATTTGATCCCTTTTTGGGTGGTAGAAACTTTGATGATGCTTTGGTAGATTATTTCTGTGAAGAGTTCAGGATCAAATATAAACTTAATGTTAAGGACAATGGTCGAGCATTGCTACGGTTATACCAGGAATGTGAAAAACTGAAGAAGCTGATGAGTGCAAATACTTCTGATCTTCCAGTAAACATAGAATGCTTTATGAATGACGTTGATGTCTCTAGCAAAATGAACAGGTATCATATTCATTGTATAAAGTGGGAATTATAAGATGATCTTTTATATGCCTGAAATATTTAATATTCATTTCTCAAAATAGGGCTCAGTTTGAACAATTGTGTGTATCTCTTCTGGCCAGAGTAGAACCTCCTTTGAGAGCAGTGATGGAACAAGCTAGTAAGTAAATGCTGCATCAGCTTATTTTGCATGCTTATTTTTAACATAAAGGTTTCTGCTTGCTACTGTAGGTCATGCCTATCATATTGAATATTATTTAATGTCTATGAAAATTGAAAAAATATTTTGGTATTGGTGTTCTTATAAAGTTGGGTATGTGTGATTCTACAGTATCAAGTACAGAAAAGATGCTATGAAGATAAGGGAAAATAATTATCTAGATACAAAAATAGCATCCACTATAATAGGTAAGGAATTAAACAAGTGAAGAAAAACATACAAAATGTGGCTTCTAGACCCCACCCACCCACAATTATAGTTTTGTTCTGTCATGTGACAAAGAGGAAGGATGGGTTCTAAGATTACAGGAGTTGGATAACATGATGAACAGCTGTCCAATTGCCTCTTTCCTAAGGAATGCATTTGTGGAAATTTTGTGGAATTTTTTTTATGCTGTAGATCCAGCTTATTTTTGAACTTGATCTTTCTTTTATTCAGTTTTTCACACCAAATATGATCCTGTTCTACTTAATTTTTAGACTCTTATCATGCTAATGGACAGACAAATGGACAGAGTCCTAGCCCATGTACATACTTTATTGGTTTGGAAAGAAAAGAAAAAATGTGCTAGAAGGAAAATTTGATAAATTAGGAAAGGAAAGCTAGACTGTACATATAGGGATTCAGATCTAACACTGAATAAGCAACAAAAATCATGAGTCTCAAGAAAAGAGTCTTAGAATTAAGTAACAGGTCCTTGGGATTCATAGACTTTGTAGAGATCAGGATGCTGTAGTCAAGTAGCAGGCACAAACATACAGTAGAAGATGAAAACAGATGAAAACAATCAAAACTATGGGAAAAAACCCCTATCTTATATTTTATACTTGTCAATAGTCACTAATTTGCTATAGTTCATATGTTGAATGGGGATGCTCAGTATTTGGCCGTCACTTTGAAATATTGTTCCATGCACCAGCAGAGCACAGTGTTCTGAACTTAACTTCTGGTTATATTGTATAAGTTCAGTATAGGATATCTGTGTTTTCAGTCTCCAGATGGCCCCAAAGCTCATGTAAGATTCTGATGGTTTTTATTTCCACTGATAATGGTTTAAGTGTAGACAATCTGAAGACAAGCATTTTATCATAAATGCTTTCATTTTTTTCCTATTCCAATCATAATCATAAAAGAAGTAGAAATCAGAGTAGGGCAAAACAAGTGAAGTTTGCTTTAAAACGTTGCAGTGTGAAATGCTTCTTTTTTAAGATTCTAGTTTCTTTTTGCTCAAACAGCCACTGATCATTTCATGGCCATTGAACAAATTTTTATTCTATAGGACTGTTTTGAGCCCTTGTACTTGAATTGCTTTATTTTTGTTAAAATATCCCCATTTCTATAGAAGTTGGAGTTGTCATAAACCTCCTTAGACTTTTCTTCTACTGGATATCAGTTTTGGTTTCGGAAACATTAACATTTGCAACCTGAACATCAGAAATCCTAAGAACTTAGAGTCCTTGGTTGAAAACCAAAAGTTAATATTAGAGAAAGATTATTCAATATACCTGCTTTCCTTACTTTTATATCTGTCCCTTTAGAGAGCCAAGGAAGGCATGTAAATCAGTTTTTGGGAGTCTTTTTATCTTTTTTAAATGAAACTGAACAAATCAAACAGCCTTTTGCCAGCTGTTAATCTTCACTGCCAATTTAGTACTGCATACTATACCTATTTATTTTTGTTATTATCTATTTACATTATGTATTCACTTTTGCTAGGCTCTGGAACCTATCAGATTTCTTCCTATTTGTGGCATTAATTTCTTACTGTTAATTTAGCATGCTTATCTAATACTTAGATTTAGAGCCCAATTACCTATAAGAATTATAAGTACATTTTTGAAACAGAATTTCAATCAATATTAAGTAGGTTTTAATGTTAACAGTAGAGACATGCCAATGTATGATAGAGAAAGTGCTTCCATTCTTGAAGTCTCTCCACCAAGTGAATCCATTCCCTCTAAAACTGATTATATTTTTCATCCATAAAAACAAATTATCTCCTGTTTGCCTCCTAGAATTACAGCGTGAAGATATTTACAGTGTAGAAATAGTAGGTGGAGCAACTCGTATTCCAGCTGTGAAGGAACAGATTTGCAATTTTTTCTGTAAAGAGATAAGTACCACATTAAATGCAGATGAAGCTGTTGCAAGGGGTTGTGCATTACAGGTGTGTTAACTGTTTTTCTGTTCAGTATAACTATTTAAATTTCTTGGCCTTGCAAATTTATCAAAAGAAGCATGCTATAATTACATTAATCTTCACATTAAGGAGTTGAAGGTAACATAGCTACTTAACCAATTTAACAAATTAAATTATACATATTTTAATTAATCATTTTGACTAATCCTAATCTGTTCTCTGAAACAGCTGAGCTGTTTGTGATCAATGTCACATCTCTTGTATGATTTTTCTGATCACAGAAAAAAGTTACTAGTCATCTCCAAGAATACTGATTTTGCTACAACAAATTTTCTTAGGCTTTATAATTGTGAAGTTAAAATGTAGTTGACTAGTATCTCATAAATAAAATAAATGTGTACCAGACACATGTCTGAGTGATACTCCATTTCTTTTCTAGTGTGCAATTCTGTCCCCAGCATTTAAAGTCCGTGAATTTTCCATCACAGATGTTGTTCCTTACTCAATTACTCTGAGGTGGCAATCATCTTTTGAGGAAGGAACAGGGTAAGAGTTTTGAGATTTAAAAATATGAAAGAACTAAGTAGATAGTATATCTATAAACAAAAGTAGGTTAGATTTGTGGAAGTATATTTGGATGAATGATAAACAAGTCCCCTGATTTAAACATGAAAAACTATGACATAAATTCTTTATCTTATAAATACAATTCTTCATGTTTTTATTTTCCCTGGAGACCAGACTCCCACAATACTTTTGCTATTCACATTATGGTAAGCATTTTTCTCACTTTCCTTTTAGTGAGCATTTCCAAAATCCATTTAGGCAAAGACTAGGTGTTCTCATCTCATCTTTCCTATGAATATGACATTCATGTTCATTGAGGGATGAGAAGGCAATATAATTATGCATTGGGATAGAATAATTTTGAAGCTTAACATAACTATTTGTTCTTCTAAGTATTCAGAAAGATACAGACATGTGAAAAAGAAAGTACATCTTTTTTGACAAAAGTTTTATGATGTTATGTATCAGGACATAGTAAAACCATCTAGTCCTTAGTAGTTCTTAAGAATAGATAATGCAAGCTCAGATGAACAACCACACATAACATATTACACCATGTCATCATTTATTTTACAAAAAGAAAGGAAAAATGGGGAAGCCACGTGTGAAAAACCAAGTACCCTTGGGATTCAATAGCTTGCAGAACCATCTTTAGCAGCAACTTGAAGTAATCATTTTCTGTATGGCTTTCTCAGTCTCTCATGTAGTTGTGGAGGAATTTTGGTCCACTCTTCTTTACAACATTGCTTCAGTTCAACAAGCTGAAATCATCACTTCACCACCACTGCTTGATGATTGGTATGAGATGTGCTGATATGCCGTGTTTGGTTTTCACCAAACATGGCACTGTGCATTATGGCCAGACATCTCCACTTTGGTGTCGTTTGTTCATAGGACAGTGTTTCAGAAGTCTTGTAATCTGTTCAGATGCAGCTTTGCAAATCTAAGCCATGCTGACCATGTTCTTTTTAGACAGAGGCTTTCTTCTGGCAATTCTTCCAAACACATCATACTTCCTTAGTCTTTTTTAAAAAAATTAAATTGTACTGTCATGAACTTTAATGTTTAATATGCTAAAGTCTGTAGAGTCTGAGATGTAACTCTTTGATATTTTGCAATTTTCTGAGCATTGTATAGTTTAACCTTAGAGTGAATTTGCTGAGATGTCTGCCCCTGGGGAGATTGGAAACTGTCTTTCCACTTGTGAATAATCTTTTTATTATGTCCTGATATGTAAAACCATAGAACTCAATGCGGGTGTATTTTCTTTTTCACATGACTTTACTTGTTTCTGATTTTCTGCTGGACTTGAGAGTCAACTCAGTGCTAAGTGCATTTTTTTAAAAATCCCCCCAAGGGACTTAATTGGAAAGAGAAAGGCAGTCCTTTGCTGAGTTTAAGGTCATGACAGTAGTGAATTGTTTTTTTTTTAATACATTTGCTTCCAGGAAAAAAAAATCCAGTACATTTATCTTGTACTTCAAAGTACTTTAGCCAATCTTACATACTATGCATATTGGGAAAACAGATTGCTGTTTTGTCTCAAGCAACAGAATATCTTGACCGAATTCTGCTGATTTCATCTTTTCTGCTTCCATCCCCTTTCCTTCCTCTCCACTCAAGTAGTAAGGACTATAACTATACTACTCTTTAATAAATACCTCTCCTCTTTCTCCCTGACTATTCTAGAAATGCAAGAGAACTAAGGGAACATATTGGGTTTATTCTCATGCCATACTAACTCTGCTATATAATTTGCTATTCAGTTTATGTAGCCTCATTTGTCTTCAGTTCATCCTCAATGTACCTGCAGAAGCAATTTAAAGTTATTTAACTTTTTTGAATTTAAAGCAGGGGTTAGAGTTTATCTTAGGTTTTCTCTCTCTCTCTCTTTCCCCCTTATTGTGTGTAAGTGCATGTGTGTGTGTGTGTGTGCATGCTGCTTGTTAATTGCAAAGACTTGCAAGTGGAGGCCATTCTGTGGTTAATTTTTAAGTGAATTCCTCTCATCTTCCTATAGAATAAAGTGTTTGTCTAAGTCTTGAGTTGTACATATCCTAGCTTGTTATCTTTAAAGAGGTTCTACTACATTAATATTTAATGTGTTATGTAACTTCCTCTCAAAATTATTAGTTTTGTGAAAGTAAGATTCATAATGGATGGTTTATTATGAAGTATTGATTATACACAATTATAATATTGAAGTAATCAATGGTTTTAAGAGTCAGTCTTTAATTCACTGGTTTCAGATAATTAGTATCACAAGATACATTGTGACTACTTTCCTATTCTCATTACTTGTAATTCTTTTTGAGTTTAAAGTATAAGCACTCTTCTTTTCTATAGTGAATGTGAAGTCTTCAGCAAAACTCACGCTTCTCCATTCTCAAAAGTTATTACTTTCCACAAAAAAGAGCCTTTTGAACTGGAAGCATTTTATACACATCCTCATGATGTTCCTTATCCTGATACAAGAATAGGTAAATGGTTTTGTTACTTGCTGACCATGACAACAAAAACCTTTTTAAAGATTTGCTTCAAATTATGAGAATCTTCACCTAATAGATTTATAAAATAACAGTTTTAATTACTAATGCCTTGTTTTATGTGGACAATGCTCTTAGTTGTTTTGCTTTAATATATTTTGTACTTTTCTGCATATGTTGCTTATTAGTAACTAGGGTTTGCTATCAACAGGTGGCACAATCATATCACACCTTACAAATACATTGCTTAGCAATATAAATTCTGGTCCCAATTACTATCATTAACTGAGGACCACCTGTTCTTTTACTTAGCAGTTGTTGATTGTAGGTATACAAATATTTTGGATTTGGAGTATCCTATTGTGCCCTTACTGAATGAGTTCAACTAGGCAACTGTGCTTTCAGCTCTTAATGTCTGCTTAAGCTATGGCTGGAACATTTCCAACAAGATTGAAACCATCACTATGGCTACTAGCTGCCTGGACATGTTCTGGCAGTTTTCATGGCAAGATTTTGAAATTGGTTTGTCATTGCCTTTTTTTTAGGGTGGAGCAAGAGTCAGTTGCTCAAGGACACCCAGATTATTTGTGCCTAGGACAGGACTAAAGCTCAGTTTTCCAATATCTAGCTTGGTAACATAACTGCTATATCAAACAGGTTTTTTCAAAGCATTTTAGATTCGAATTATATTTACATCACTCATTTGGATAAACGTGGCTGAATATAGAAGCTTAGATAGGATTAGGCCATTTAATATTTAGATGGATGGCCACAGAAGAATTTTGGAGCTATAAACTAGACTAATAAATTGGAAAAATATCCTGGGGGAGGGGGGGAAGAACACAATAGCAAACTAGATCTATTTGGTGGACAGAAAACTTTGATCAACATATTACAAACTCATTTCAAAGGAAGTCCATTAACTATTGATTATCCCAATCTAGGATGGAGATAAATTGAAAATGTTTTTTTCTGATATTTGTTATTACTTACCACTGTGTAAAACAATCAGAGTGTTATCTTGATTTTATTTTAAAGTATAACTTTCCTATTATATGATACACTTGTGCAAGAAATAAAATACATTCTGAAATGAATGCATAGTTCACAGTAACAAACAATTCTTAATTGATTTTTACAGATCCCCAAAATTATTTTTATGTAGTGCAGTTCCTGGGATCTTTGGCCTGCTAGGAACTGAACAAGAGGGTGGTAGTCATTTTTCTTTGCCAATATGCTCAAATGTGGTCTAGTGACAATAGTGCTTCATATTGCCCAGATAAAGGTGATAGGATGAATTATAGTTTCTGATAATTAGTTTATTGTATAAGTGTTACGGCATAGATCTTTTCAATAAGGTCTAATTAAAT